GGGGACAGAGGGACGGAGGAGGACACGGCCACCTCCGGGTCCCCGCCAGTCGCACGAGGGCTGAGGAGCAGAGGGACAGCGATGTCCCCCAGACCCCGGGGGGACGCTGGGGGGACAGAGGGACACCCCGACCCCCTGCCAGCCCCGGGTGGGACACTCCCAACCCCCCCGGCTCCGGGAAGGCGGCGATTGCCACCGGGGCCATGGGAGAAATGGGTGAGGGGAGCGCGCCCGTGTCACCGTCCCTGTCCCCGTGCCACAGGGGGTGTCCCGGGGGGTCACAGGGGGTGTCCGGGGGGGTCACAGGGGGTGTCAAAGGGGGGTCACAGGGGGTGTCCGGGGGGTCACACCGGGCTCCGAGCTCATCCCTGTCCCCGAGCACGTCCCTGCGCGCCGCCCCACGCGGGGGGGCCGGTCACACACTCGGGGTGCCGGGGGGGCTGTGCCGGGGGGCTGCGCCGTCTGGGCCGCCCCGTCCCCAGGGGACACCCCGGGGGTGCCCGCGGGCCTCAGACGGGCACAGGCGGAGCTGGCCCGGTCCTCCCCGCGGCTTTTGGGGGGGCCCCAAGCCCAGACGGCCCCGGGGGGGGACGCGGGGGTGGCGGTGAACCTGCCGAGCCCGCGGGGGACCCGGAACTGCTGCAGGTGGCACCGTGGGGACAGTGCCAGGTGAGGGAGGGATGGTGGTGGCACCGGGTGGGCACAGGCTGCGGGGTGGGCACGGTCCTGGGCGGGGGTCACAGCTCCCACGAAGGTGTCACAGTCCCCATGGAGGTGTCACAGTCCCCACGGGGGTGTCCCGGTCCCCCCAGGACACCGCCCCCTCCCCGTCCCCCAGCGGTGCCACCGCGGGACAAGGACGGAGCTCGGGCACAGCTGGCACGGCTGGCACAGCTGGCACCGCTGGCACCGCTGGCACGGCTGGCACGGCGCTGCCCACCCGCTCCCCGCCGGCCTGGCAGAGATCTCTATCGCGATTATCGCGACCGGGCTGCCCCGCCCGGGTCTCGGCGTGCCCGCGGGCGGCGTTTCCTCCGCCGAGCCGGAATTGCTGCCGGGGCTCGACCTCGGCCGCGGAGCCGGCGGCTCGGAGCAGGGCTCAGCGCGATTTTTAATTGGAGTTTTAATTAGTCCCGTGCTAATCTCGCTGCCGTATCTGCGCCCAGCCGGCCCGGCTGTCAGTCAGGGCCTGGGGAAACCGGAACGGCTCCGGCGGGGAGGGGACAGCGACAGCGGGACAGCGGGGACAGGACGGCGGGGACAGGGATGGGGACAGCGGGGACAGGACAGGGACAGCGGGGACAGCGGGGACAGGACAGGGACAGCGGGACAGCGGGGACAGGACAGGGACAGCGGGGACAGGGACAGGGATGGGGACTGGGCCAGCAGCGACAGGCTGTGACTTGTCCCTACAAGCTGTCCCACCCGGGGGGGCCACCCTGTCCCCTCCCTCCCCGCCAGCCCCGGCTGAGCCCGCGGGGACCCCCTGGACCCCTGCTCGGGGTCCCCACCCGGCGTCCCCTCCCTGGAGGGTGGCAGTGCCACGTGGGATGTCCCCGCAGGGGGGTGACAATGCCAGTTCCAGTGTCCCCGCAGCCGGGCCGGTGTCGCGGGTCCCCGCACGGGGGTGACAATGCCACCCGGCTGTCCCCGCAGCTCCGGGTCCCTCTCGGGGTGGCAGGGCCAGCACCGCGGGCCGGTCCCGGTGTCCCCGAGCCGCCGCCCCGTCCCCCGCGTGGCTGTCCCCGAGTGTCCCCGACCCCGCGACCCCCCGGCCGGGCGGGGCGGGCTGGGGGCGGCTCCCCCGGAGCCCGGGGTGGTTTTTGGGGGGTCGGTGAGTAAGCGGAGCGGGCAGGGCGGGCGGGGAGCGGCGGCTGCCCGCAAATGGAGGCCCCGCGGCCACAGACACGGCACAACAAAGCACCGGCAATTATTTGGCTCCAGCGGGAGCTGCCGGGGCCGTGGGGGCTGGAGCCGGCTGGGCACCCCCGGGACCCCCGGGACCCCCGGGCCGGCAGCGCTGAGAGGGTCCCGGGGGGCGCGGGGAGGGTGAGGGACCCCCCCCAGGAGGGGGGGATGGGGTGGTGGGGGTGACCCCCGGCGGGATACTGAGCACAGCCCGGCTTTGGGGATGCCCGTCGCTTTTGGGGACCCCAATTCTGCAAGGGGATTGGGGACCCCTGGCTCTTCTGGCAGCCTGAACACCCCAGAGCTCCCCAAGCGCTCTGAGCCCCCCAAATTTCCAAGGGGATTGGGGACCCCCATCCCTTCTAGCGCCTTGAACACCCCAAAAGCCTCCAAGCGCCCTGAACCCCAAAATCTGCGAGGGGATTGGGGACCCCACCTCTTAGGGAACCCCGGCCCGCGGCGGGACACTGAGCCCCCCGAGCACCCTGAATTGTGGGAGGGCTTGGGGACCCCCCTCCCGCTGAGGCCTGGGGGGAGCTGGGGCACCCCAGGCTCGGCAGGGACCCCCCGAACCCAAACCCCGAACCCACCGTGTCCCCAAACCCACCGTGTCCCCTCCCGGCCGTGTCCCCTCCCCGCGGGCTGGGTCCCTCGGCACCCCCGGATCCCCTCCCCTCCCACCCCGGGGTGCCTCCGGCGGGGGGGGGGGGGCGAGGGGGATCCCCGGGACTCCCCACCCGCCGGGGACCCCCTGACGTCATCCGGCTTCAACCTTTCGGACTCCCCTTTCGCCAATCACAGGCGCAGCTCGTCCGCGGCGAGCTTTCCATTGGCTTATGGATATGTCAATCAAATCACTATGACCAATGATATGGAGTGTTTTGGGCGGGTCACGCCCACGAGGAAGTCCGCCCCCTTCAAGACCTGTCAATCAAACAGCGGATGGGCACAGGCTGTGCTTGCGCCCGTTGGCTGTCTGTGCTGTCAATCAGAGATCTCCCGTGGTATTGGCTCTCCACTGCCGTCCGTCACCTCAGCGCTCCGCTCCCATTGGCGGAGCCATCCCTCCATCACTATCCTTACTGCTCGGCGCAGCTGCCCATCAACCTTTATCCCTCCGCGGATTGGCCACCGTTCCACCATCTCACCACCCATTGGCCAGATCGCAAAGCAGCCGGGCTGCGATTGGTCCAAACCTCCTCTGGGGGCGGGCGCAGCAGGGCGGTGCCCGGCGGAGGAAGATGGCGCCGTGAGCGGGTCGGAGCCGCCGCCGCCCCCGGCCGGTCAGTGCGGGGGGAGCGGGGCCGGGCCGCGGCCGCTGCGGGGCCGCCGGGGCGGGGAGCGAATCTGAGGGGACCCCAGGAGCTGAGGGGACCCCGGAGCTGAGGGGGGACCCCCGGGAGCTGTGGGGACCCCCGGAGCTGAGGGGGGCCCGGATCTGAGGGGACCCCAGGAGCTGAGGGGACCCCGGAGCTGAGGGGACCCCCGGAGCTGAGGGGGGACCCGGAGCTGAGGGGACCCCGGAGCTGAGGGGGGACCCCCGGGAGCTGTGGGGACCCCCGGAGCTGAGGGGGGCCCGGATCTGAGGGGACCCCAGGAGCTGAGGGGACCCCGGAGCTGAGGGGGGCCCGGAGCTGAGGGGACCCCCGGGAGCTGAGGGGACCCCGGAGCTGAGGGGGGCCCGGAGCTGAGGGGACCCCCGGGAGCTGAGGGGACCCCGGGAGCGGGGGGGGGACCCGGAGCTGAGGGGACCCCGGAGCTGAGGGGACCCCCGGGGCTGAGGGGACCCCGGAGCTGAGGGGGGTCCCGGGGATGCTCGGGGGCAGCGAGGCCGGGGCCGGGTCTGGGGGAGGCCGCCCCCGGTTTTTGGGGATTTGGGGAAGGATTCGGGCCGGGTCCCCCTGCGGGATCCTGTTGGGGCTCTTGGGGGGTTCACTGGGCTGGGGATTCCGGGCTCTGGGGGATTCAGGATGGTCCCCAAATTTCTTTTATGGGATTCAGGATGGTTCCCGAATTTCCTGGTGGGATTCATTCCCCTGATGGGATTTGGGATGATTCCCAAATTTCTTTTATGGGATTCAGGATGGTTCCCAAATTTCCTTTATGGGATTCAGGATGGTTGCCAAATTTCCTTATGGAATTCATTTCCCTGATGGGATTTGGGATGATTCCCAAATTTCCTTTATGGGATTCAGGATGGTTGCCAAATTTCCTTATGGGATTCAGGATGGTTGCCAAATTTCCTTATGGAATTCATTGCCCTGATGGGATTCGGGCTGTTTTTCCTGGTGGGATTCATTCCCCTGATGGGATTTGGGATGATTCCCAAATTTCCTTATGGGATTCAGGATGATTCCCAAATTTCCTTATGGGATTCACTGCCCTGATGGGATTCAGGCTGTTTTTCCTGGTGGGATTCATTCCCCTGGTGGCATTCAGGATGATTCCCAGATTTCTCTCATGAGATTCGTTTCCCCGATGGGATTTGGGCTGTTTGTCCTTATGGGATTCATTTCCTTGGGATTCATTCCCCTGGTGGGGTTCGGGATGGTTCCCAGATTTAGGGGGCTCTGCTTCACCACGAGTGGGAAACACACAGAAGGATCACACTGGGCATTAATGTCCCAATTTATTTCTCTGGGAAAATGGGATTTCTCTAGGGAGAATGGAATTTCTTTAGGGAAAGGGGGATTTTTCCAGGGAAAATGGGATTTCTCCAGGAAAAATGGGATCTCCCTGGCCGGGATCTGGCTCCTCCCAGGCCGGCTCAGCCCCGCTCGGATTCGCACTCGGGGCTGTTGATCCTCAGCTCTGCCCTAAATTCCGATGGAGGGGAGGGAACAGCCACTCAGAATCCCCAAAAAACGAGAATATTTCAGGCTGGGAATGGCAACATTTGGGGCTGAGAGGAAGAAGATTTCAGGCTGGGAATGGGAAGATTTCTGGGTGGAACTGGGGGGATTTCAGGCTGTGAACAAGAAGATTTCAGGCTGGGAATGGGAAGATTTAGGGCTGGGATTGGCAACATTTGGGGCTGGGAATGGGAAGATTTAGGGCTGGGATTGGGAAGATTTGGGGCTGGGAATGGGAAGATTCGGGGCTGTGAACAAGAAGATTTTCAGGCCAGGAATGGGAAGATTTGGGGCTGGGAAGATTTTGGTTGGAGCCAGGGAGATCTCGGCTCTCTGGGCCCACCTGCTTTGAAGTTGGGCCCTGCCAGTTTTGGGGAGCTGCTCCTTCCAGCCGAGGCTGTGCTGGAATTCAGGAAAACGAGGGGAAACCCCGGAATGCTCCTTGGGGTTTCCCTTGGGAACCAAACAAAGACCAAACCCCGGGGAGGAGGTGACGCAGCGTGGGGGGCAGCCCCGCAGCGTGAGGTGGGATGGTTTTGGGGGGACTTTGGGGGACACCAGGCAGATCGCTTGGGGTCAGAGCCTTGGGCTGGGCTCCCTGAGGAGCTGATCCCTCCCTGCTCTGTCCCCACAGCTCGAGGGACAGCATGGCTGCCACTGCTGCTGTCAGCCCCAGTGAATACCTGCAGCCCGCCGCCGCCGCCGCCGCCCAGGTGAGCCCAGCCCCTCCTGGGGGACAGCAGCAGCCGGGGGGCAGGACAGCCCCTGCAGCCTCGGGGGGGCTCGTTCCCACTCCTGAGCCCGCTGTTGTTCCTGCCCCCGAGCATCTCTGATGTTCCCAGCCGATACCTCGGCGTGGGATATCGAGATAGTGGGATTTGAGCTGCCTGTGATGTTCCAAGGGGGAATCCCAGGAAGTTCCCAGGATGTCCGCAGCTTTAGGATGGTTTAAGGGTGGTTTCAAGCTTTAGGATGGTTTCAAGCTTTAGGATGGTTTTAAGGACACAAGGATGGGGTTTAAAAGGATTTAGGGACACAGGGATGGGATCTCAAATGTCACCACTGCTGAAAGCACTGGGAGCTGGACATCAGCAGGAATTCCTTCACAGAAAAATTGGGAACTGGGATGATCTGCCCAGAAAGGTGGTGGAGTCACCTGGGGGTGTTTAAGGAGAGACTGGAGGTGGCCCTCAGTGCCATGCTGGGTGTGACAAAGTGTCCCCCAGGTCAGAATGGACAATCCCAGAGATCCTTTCCCAACTCATTTATTGGGGAACTCCGCCACACGCGGGTAATTAATCAGCTCCCTTAATCAGGGCTGTGTGGCGAGCTGTTCCTGCGGGTGCTTGGCGCTGACTGCCCTCTCTCCCCAGGACTCCCAGCCCTCTCCCCTGGCCCTGCTGGCAGCCACATGCAGCAAGATCGGTCCCCCCGCCGTGGAAGCCGCCGCGGCGCCGCCGGCGCCTCCGCAGCCCGCCCCTCGCAAGCTGGTGCCCATCAAACCCGCCCCGCTGCCCCTGGGCTCGGCCAAGAGCAGCATCGGCATCCTGTCCTCCAAAGGGAACCTCTTCCAGATCCAGGGCTCCCAGGTGGGCGCCTCCTACCCCGGGGGGCAGCTGGTTTTCGCCATCCAGAACGCGGCCGTGCTCAACAAAGGCTCGCGCTCCTCCTCCTCCTCCTCCTCCTCCTCCTCCTCCTCGTCTTCCTCCTCCAACATCCAGTACCAGGCGGTGCCGCAGCTGCAGCCCGGCGGGGCTCAGACCATCCAGGTGCAGCCTAACCAGATCCAGATCATCCCAGGCACCAACCAGGCCATCCTCACGCCCTCCTCTTCCTCGCACAAGCCCGTGCCCATCAAGCCGGCCCCGGCGCAGAAGGCGGCGGCGGGATCGGGATCGGCCGGCGTGGTCAAACTGCCCGGGGGTGGCAACGTCACCCTGACCCTGCCCGTCAACAACCTGGTGAGCCCCGAGGCTGGGCAGGCCCAGCTGCTCACGGACAGCCCTTCCAAACCCGGCAAGAAGCCTCGCAAAAAGGCCCCGTCCCCCGGGCAGCCCGCCGCCGTGGCCGTGGCCGAGCAGGTGGAGACGGTGCTGATCGAGACCACGGCCGAGAACATCATCCAGGCTGGCAACAACCTGCTGATCGTGCAGAGCCCCGGCTCGGGCCAGCCGGCCGTGGTGCAGCAGGTGCAGGTGGTGCAGCCCAAGCAGGAGTCGCAGGTGGTGCAGATCCCGCAGCAGGCGCTGCGCGTGGTGCAGGCGGCCTCGGCCACGCTGCCCACCGTGCCCCAGAAATCCTCCCAGAACTTCCAGATCCAGGCGGCCGAGCCCACCCCCACCCAGGTACAGCCTCCTTGGAATCTTCTCCCCGTTGTTCTCCTCTGGTTCTCACTCGGGATTGAGGAGCTGGGGGGTTTTGTGAGATATTCCCAGTTTGGAGTTTGGTTTAGGCATTGCTGAGTGGATTCTTGGAGGTTGGGAGTGCAGCCTTTCCCTCTGCAGGGATTTAGGAACTGTTGTTCCTCTCTGATCCTCCCCCAGGATTGAGGAGCTGGGGGGTTTTGTGAGATATTCCCAGTTTGGAGTCTGGTTTAGGCATTGCTCAGTGGAGGTTGAGAGTGCAGCCATGCCCTCTGCAGGGATTTAGGAGCTCCAGCTGCTTTGATAGGATATGGAGGAGCTCAGTGTGCCAGAGCTGGGGCTGGGATGAGCCAGCCTGCTGGGAGCTCCTGTGTCACCACGGGAGGTGGGAGAGGCGTTGGTGTCTTTGTGTTGCCTTGTGCAAAACCCAGGAGCTTTCTCCTTTCCCCAGGGATCCCGCAGAGGTCCAGATTCACTTCCCAGTGCGGGTGGGGAGGGGCTGGGCTGCATTTCCCAGACAAGCTGTGACTTCCCCATCCCTTCGAGTGTCCAAGCCCAGCAGAAGGAAGTTAAAACAACCTCCAAAACCCCACCAAGCCAACCCCACCCACCACCCCGAGCTGCGCGCGCCCATCCCACCGCCCCGAAGCCCACCTGTGCTCCCTGCTCCCCCGCAGGTTTACTTCAAGACGCCGTCTGGCGAGCTGCAGACCGTGCTGCTGCAGGAGGCCTCCTCGCTGCCGGTGGCCCCGGCGCCGGGCGCGTCCTGCGGCAGCCCCGGGCCCGGCCGCAGGGCGGCCCCGCGCAAGGAGCGGCCGCTGCCCAAGATCGCCCCCGCCGGGGGAATCCTGAGCCTGAGCGCGGCGCAGCTGGCAGCAGCTGCCCAGGCCATGCAGACCATCAACATCAACGGCGTGCAGGTGCAGGGCGTGCCCGTCACCATCACCAACAGCGCAGGTGGGTGGCACGGCGGGACGGGGCGGGTGGCAGGGGGTGGGCAGCTCCCTGAGCTTCCCGAGGAGGGGAGGGCACTAAAACAGGTCAGATCAGATTAAAACAGATCCCTCGTGCTCCTGAGGGGGACAGGGACAGTGGGCAGCTGCCTGAGCTTCCTCAGGATGGGAATGTGCAAGGAAATCCTCACCAGATCAGATCAGATCCCTTGTGCTCCTGAGGGGAACAGGGACGGTGGGCAGCTGCCTGAGCTCCCTGAGCTTCCTGAGGATGGGATGTCCTTAAAACAGATCAGATCAGATTAAAACAGATCCCTCGTGCTCCTGAGGGGGACAGGGACAGTGGGCAGCTGCCTGAGCTTCCTCAGGATGGGAATGTGCAATGGAATCCCCCCTTGATCAGATCAGATCAGGTCAGATCCCTCGTGCTCCTGAGGGACATAGGGACAGTGGGCAGCTCCCCGAGCTTCCCAAAGATGGGATGTCCCCAGATCAGATCAGATCTGATCCCTCGTGTCCCCAGGGGCTCTGCAGTGTCAGCACGTTCTGCAGTCGCTCCCACAAGCCAGGAGTGTTTCCCAAAGTGTCTCTGGGTGACTCCAAGCACATCCTGGAGAGCTGTGGGTGACAGGGATGGCTGCCTGCCCAACCCGGCCGTGCCAAGCTGCAGGAAGCACCTGAGGTTTCCTGGAGCTGGAACATCTCCCTTGGATCCCATTCCAGATCCCATTCCAGATCCCCATCCCCTGGAACATCCTCTGCACACTGGGAACAAGGAGCTCTCCCAAGCTCCCAAACCCAGGAGGGGCACATTGACACACCCAGCTCCATTTTTCCAGCTCCACATTCAGGGATCAGCATTCCAGGAGTGAACCCCTCACTCCAGGGAGTGAACCCCTCACTCCAGAGGTCAGCATTCCAGGAGTGAACCCCTCACTCCAGGGAGTGAACCCCTCACTCCAGAGCTCTCCCTGAACCCCAAACCAGCCGGGCACGGCCCGGTGCTCCCAGTCCCAGGAGTGTCACGTCCCTGCAGCCACCCTGTCCCCGTCCAGGGCCAGCCCTGTCCCCGGGAGCCGAGGGAGGGAGCTGTGTGTGCGGGCACTTTTACCTCGGGGCTGAGATCAGCCCAGCCCTTTGTGCCCCGGCACTCGGCTCCTCCTCGCCAGGCGTCAGCAGAATTCCCACTCTGCTGCCCTCCCAGGACTGCCTTTGGAGGGGGGGTCGGATTTATTTAGACACTCCAATTACCCTGGAGGGGACCGGCAGGACGTGCTGCCCGCGGCCGAGCCGAGCCGGGCTCAGCCGGGACATTCCCCCTGCTCCATCCCTGCCTTGGCGCTTCCTGCCGGCTCCTCGCTCTGCCTGCTCTCCCTCCCTGCTGCCTCTGCTCCTCCGCTGCCAGCCCTTGTCCTTCCCCTCCTCCTCCTCGTCCTGCTGCTGCCCTGGGAGCAGCGATCCCAATCCCAATCCCGATCCCGATCCCGATCCCCACCCCGCTTGCTGACGCTGACCCCGTCTTCTTCTTTGCAGCGCCTGTCGCGGCTGCCCGGGACGCCCGAGCCTGGAGCGGCCCTTAGGCTGCTGGGTAAGTCCCGTTTTTTTGCTCAATATATTGCACGTTTTTTCAAAGTTTCTTTTTTGTTTCCTCTTTGAGCCCTTTTTTTTCCCCGCCCCCCTAAAAGGGTCGAAAACTTTTTTGAAAACTTTGAAAAACCGCACAGTATATTCAGAAAAAAGGGACTTACCGGGAGAGGCACGTGGCAAAGGGGGCTGTGCTGCATGCGGGGATCAGTTCGGGCTATTCCCTGCTCCAGAGGAATGGGAGAAGCATGGATGGAGCCTGACTGTCCCTCTTCCCTTCTCCCCAGGCCAGCAGCAGCTGACGGTGCAGAACGTGTCCGGCAACAACGTGACCATCAGCGGGCTGAGCCCCACCCAGATCCAGCTGCAGATGGAGCAGGCGCTGTCCGGGGACATCCAGCCGGGCGAGAAGAGGAGGAGGATGGCCTGCACCTGCCCCAACTGCAAGGACGGCGACAAGCGGTGGGTTCTGAGAGTGGGAAGGGCTCATCCCGCTGGGATCCGCCTCTCCCGGGCGTGGTTCATCCCTCTGGATCCGCCTCTCCCGGGTTTAACCCAGAGCCGTTCATCCCGCTGGGATCCGCCTGTCCCGGGTTTAACCCAGAGCCGTTCATCCCTCCGGATCCGCCTCTCCCGGTATAACCTGGAGCGGTTTATCCCTCCGGATCCGCCTGTCCCGGGTTTAACCCAGAGCGGTTTATCCCTCCGGATCCGCCTCTCCCGGGCGTGGCTCATCCCTCTGGATCCGCCTCTCCCGGGTTTAACCCAGAGCGGTTCATCCCTCCGGATCCGCCTCTCCCGGTATAACCTGGAGCGGTTTATCCCTCTAGATCTGCCTGTCCCGGGTCTAACCCAGAGCGGTTTATCCCTCTGTATCCGCCTCTCCTGGGCGTGGCTCATCCCTCCGGCCCCGCCTCTCCCGGAACAGCCCAGAGCGGTTCATCCCTCCGGCTCTACCTCTCCCGGGTCTAACCCGGAGCGGTTCATCCCTCCGGATCCTCCTGTCCCGGGTTTAACCCAGGGCGGTTCATCCCTCCGGATCCGCCTGTCCTGGGTTTAACCCAGAGCGGTTCATCCCTCCGGATCCGCCTCTCCTGGGAGTGACTCATCCCGCTTGGATCCGCCTTTCCCGGGCTAACCAGAGCGGTTCATCCCTCCGGCCCCGCCTGTCCCGGGCGTGGCTCATCGCTCCGGCTCCACCTTTCCGAGAATAACACGGCGCGGTTCATCCCTCCCGCTCCCCCTCTCCCGGCTCTAACCCGGAGCGGTTCGTCCCTCCTGCTCCCCCTCTCCCGGAATAACCCGGCGCGGTTCGTGCCTCCGGCTCCTCCTTTCCTGGAATAACCCGGCGCGGTTCATCCCTCCCGCTCCCCCTCTCCCGGCTCTAACCCGCGCGGTTCGTGCCTCCGGCTCCTGTCGGGCTGAGCACGCCTCTCCCCGCAGGCCGGGCGATCCCGGGAAGAAGAAGCACATCTGCCACATCCCCGAGTGCGGGCGGACGTTCCGCAAGACGTCGCTGCTGCGGGCGCACGTGCGGCTGCACACGGGCGAGCGGCCCTTCGTGTGCAACTGGGTGTTCTGCGGCAAGCGCTTCACGCGCTCCGACGAGCTGCAGCGGCACGCGCGCACGCACACAGGTCTGCACCCCCGGGTACCCCCTGTGCCCGGGGCAGAGCCCCCACACAGGGCTGGGGTATCCCTGGGGTATCCCCCGTGTCCAGGGAAGAGCCCCCAGTAGGGCTGAGGTATCCCCTGTGTCCGGGGCAGAGCCCCCACTCAGGGCTGGGGTATCCCTGCAGGGTCCCTGTTCCCAAGGAACCCCCACACAGGGCTGGGATATCCCCCATTCCCAGGGCAGCACCCCCACACAGAGCTGGGATATCCCAGGATATCTGTCCCCCATTCCCAGGGCAGCACCCCCAAACAGATCTGGGATATCCCAGGATATCTATCCCCCATTCCCAGGGCAGCACCCCCACACAGGGCTGGGATATCCCAGGATATCTGTCCCCCATTCCCAGGGCAGCTCCCCCAGCTCCTGCCCTGGCTGCTCACAGCTCTGGGATCCCCCTGGGGCATTCCCCATTCCCAAGGACCCCTCCCCAAATCCCACCCTGGAGCCCTGGGAGGATGGGACCCCCCGAGTTTTGTCTGGGGTTGGAGTTTTGGGAGGCATTGGAGGGATTTTGGGGTGGTCTCTGCTGCTTTTGGGATGTCCCAGTACCTGAGGTGTCCTGGGAAGGGATGGGGACACCATGGGGACATGTCCTGGGGGTGTCACCATGACCCCAAGAGCCACAGGGGAGCGCAGGGCTCATCTGGGACCACCATAAATCGTCTTGGGGTTCAAAGTGCTGGGAGGGGCTGGAGGATTTTGGGGTGGGGGGTCTCTGCTGCTCGGGTGACAGAGGTGTCCTGGGAAGCGATGGGGACACCATGGGGACATGTCCTGGGGGTGTCACCATGCCAGCAGCCACTGGGATGACCTGGGCAGGTTCTCCCTGGTTTCTGGGGGGCACTGGAGGGTTTTGGGGGGTCTGTGGTGACAGGTTTAACGGGGACATCAAGGGGACATGTCCTGGGGGTGTCACCACGCCCTTGGGAGCCACTGGGATGACCCTGGGCAGGTTGTGCCTGGGTTCTGGGGACACTGGAGGGTTTTGGGGGGTCTGTGGTGACAGGAAGGGGATGGGGACATCAAGGGGACATGTCCTGGGGGTGTCACCACCCCAGCAGCCACTGGGATGACCTGGGCAGGTTGTGCCTGGGTTCTGGGGACACTGGAGGGTTTTGGGGGGTCTCTGGTGACAGGTTTAACGGGGACATGCCCTGGGGGTGTCCCCAGCTCCCTGCCCTGGCCTGGCTGTCCCTGCGGGTGCCCCAGGTGCCCCCCTGAGCGTCCCCTCTCCCGCAGGTGACAAACGCTTCGAGTGCGCGCAGTGCCAGAAACGCTTCATGCGCTCCGACCACCTGACCAAGCACTACAAGACACACCTGGTCACCAAGAACCTGTAGGGGGGACAGCCCCCCGCTGCCCCCCGCCGCAGCACTCCGGGGAGGGACCCTGGCCACGTCCCGGCCCTCCCAACCGCGCTCAGCACCCCAAAATCGGGCTGGGGGTGTCCCGGGGACCTCGGGGGGTCACCCAGAGCCTCCCTGGGACCCCACGGGTTTAGGGGGTCACCAGAGCCCCCCAGACCATCCCCTGTGACCCCACAGGCTCAGGGGTGACCCTCAGGTTTAGGGGGTGACCCACAGCTCCCCTGTGACCCCACATGTTCATGGGGTCACCCAGAGTCCCCCCTGTGACCCCACAGGCTCAGGGGTGACCCTCAGGTTTGAGGAGCGCGTTGCCTTACCCCGGCCCGTGATCATGAGTGCTTTTTTATCTGTTTCATCCCTGGGTTTCTCCCAAAACTCAGCTCTTGCCCTTCCCCCCCTCACGGCCAATTCCTCTCTCCCGGTTTTTCTTTCCGAGCAACGTTGGCGTTTCCCTGTTCTTTTTTTGGTTTTTTTTTTTTTTAATTTTTCCCCTTTTTCCTTCCTTTTTTTTTTTAATTTTCCCCCTTTTTTCTTATTTTTTATTTTTCCCCTTTTCCTTCCCTTTTATTCTTTTTCCCCCTTTTTCCTTCCTTATTTTTTATTTTCCCCTTCTTCCTTATTTTTTCTTTTCCCCCCCTTTTTCCTTCCTTATTTGTTATTTTCCCCTTCTTCCTTCCTTTTTTTTTTATTTTCCACCCTTTTCCTTCCTTATTTTTTCTTTTTCCTCTTTTTCCTTCCCTTATTTCTTATTTTCCCCTTTTCCCTTCCTTATTTTTTCTTTTTCTCCTTTTCCCTTTCTTATTTTTCCCTTTTTCTTTCCTTTTTTTATTTTATTTTCCCCTTTTCCCTTCCTTATTTTTTCTTTTTCTCCTTTTTCCTTTCTTATTTTCCCCTTTTTCCTTCCTTTTTTATTTTTCCCCTTTTTCCTTTCTTATCTTTTTTTCTCCTTTTTCCCTTATTTTTTTTTTCCCTTTTTCCTTACTTTTCCCCCTTTTTCCTTCCCTTTTTTTCTTTTCCCCCTTTCCCTTCCGTTATTTCCAGTTCCCTTTCCCCTCCCTGCGCGGGTGTACAGTGTACATTGTATCATAGATTCTATTGCTCTGGAGCTTTTAAATTAAACTGCAATTTCCGTTTCCCGCGGGCTCCGCGCCCCTCAGCATTCCCGGGGCGCGGATCCGGCCGCGGAGCCGAGCCGGGAACGGGGAAAACGGGGGAAAACGGGGGAAAACGGGGATGGGGGAAATGGGAATTGGGAAACGGGAATGGGGAAAAACGGGGATGGGGGAATGGGAAAACGGGGAAACGGGGATGGGGAAACGGGAATGGGGAAATGGGAATGGGGAAAAACGGGGATGGGGAAATGGGAACAGGGATGGGGAAAAATGGGGATGGGATGGGGATGGGGAAATGGGAACAGGGATGGGGAAAAATGGGGATGGGATGGGGATGGGGAAATGGGAATGGGGGAAATGGGAATGGGGATGGAGAAAAAACAGGGATGGGGGAAAAAACGGGAATGGGGATGGGGAAACGGGAATGGGGGAAGTGGGAATGGGGAAAAACGGGGATGGGGAAACAGGAATGGGGATGGGGAAATGGGAATGGGGGAAATGGGAATGGGGAAACGGGGATTGGGAAACGGTAATGGGGGAAAAATGGGGATGGGGAAATGGGAACAGGGATGGGGAAGAACGGGAATGGGGAAACGGGAATGGGGGGAATTGAGGAATTGATAGGATTTAGAGGAATGGGTGGGATTGGGGGGAATTGGTGGGATTTGGGGAATTGGTGGGATTTAGAGGAATGGGTGGGATTTTGGGGATTGTTGGGATTTGGGGAATGGGTGAAAACCTGAGGAATTTTAGCAGGAAATGGTTCTGCTTCCCCCCATGAGCTGCTGGGTCAGGAGTGGGGGATTGTCCCCAGTCCCTGTCCCTTGTCCCAGTGTCCCAAACACCCCATGTCCCCAAATCCCCGTCCCCGCCATGTCCCAGCCCCAGTCCCTGGTCACAGTCCCCCTCCCCGCTGTCCCCGTGTCCCCCTCCCGCGGTCGCTGCCCCTTTAAGAGCCCCCGCACCTCGTTATACCCTGCCACTACTTCCGGGTCTTTTTGCCCCGCCCCTTCCACTTCCTCCAATGAGCCTCCAGCTCCTACGGAGGCGCGCGCGCTGTGCCGCTTCCTATTGGCTGCGCTGGAGGAGGAGCGGCCGCGCTTAGCCACGCCCCCGGAGCGGTGGGGGCTCCGCGCGGCCGCGATGGAGCTGGAGCAGCTGCGGAAGAGCTACCGGGGGGACAGCGAGGTGGGGGGGACACCGGGGGGACACCGGGGGGACAGCGGGGACACCGGGGGGACACCGGGGACACCGGGGCGTCCCGGCACGGCGGGACCCCCGGAGCGCCCCCCCGGGGCCCGGAGAACGCCCCGTTCCCCTCCCACGCGGCCGTGTCCCCAAGGCTCGGGGACACCCCCGGGCAGGTGACACCCCCGGACTGTCCCCAAGGCTCGGGGTGTCCCCACTTTCCCCCTGTCACCCCCCCGTGCTGTCCCCGCTCTGTCCCCTGCGCTGGCCCTGCCCTCGAGCGCGGCGCCCCGCTGTCCCCTGACCCCCCCGGTGTCCCCTGACCCCCCCGCTGTCCCCTGACCCCCGCTGTCCCCCTGTCCCCAGGCGTTCGAGGAGTGTCACCTGGTGTCCCCGGAGCCCCTGGAGCAGTTCCGGGCCTGGCTGCAGGAGGCGCTGCAGTGCCCGGACATCGCCGAGCCCAACGCCATGTGCCTGGCCACGTGCTCCAGGTGACACCGGGGGGACACTGGGGACACAGGGGGGACACGGGGACACGGGGACATGTGCCTGGCCACCTGCTGCAGGTGACACCGGGGGGACATGGAGGGTGACACTGTGCTGACACTGGGATGACAGTGGGGTGACACTGGGTTGGCACAGGTGGCACACAGGGGTGGCACACAGGGGGTGACACAGGTGGCACAGGTGTCCCCAGGCAGCAGACCGGGGTGACACAGGTGGCACACAGGGTGGCACACAGGGTGGCACACAGTGGGGTGACACACAGGGTGTCCCCCTGGGTGTGCTGTGGGGTGGCCGTGTGACGTGGCTGTCCCCGTGTGACGTCACTGTCCCTGTGTGTGTGACATCGCTGTCCCCGTGTGACGTGGCTGTCCCTGTGTGTGTGACGTCACTGTCCCTGTGTGTGTGTGACGTCGCTGTCCCTGTGTGCGACGTCGCTGTCCCCGTGTGACGTCGCTGTCCCCGCGTGTGACGTGGCTGTCCCCGCGTGTGTGACGTGGCTGTTCCCCTGTGTGTGACGTGGCTGTCCCCCTGTGTGTGACGTCGCTGTCCCCGTGTGATGTCACTGTCCCGTGTGACGCCGCTGTCCCCGCGCTGCCCCAGGGACGGGCGGCCCTCGGCGCGCATGGTGCTGCTCAAGGGGCTGGGGCCGGACGGGCTGCGCTTCTTCAGCAACTACGAGAGCAGGAAGGGCCGCGAGCTGGTGAGGGCACGGGGTGCTGAGGGATCCCGGGAATCCTGAGAGATCCCGGGAATCCTGAGAGATCCCGGGAATCCTGAGAGATCCCGGGAATCCTGAGGGATCCTGGGAATCCTGAGGGATCCCGGGAATCCTGAGAGATCCCGGGAATCCTGAGGGATCCCGGGAATCCTGAGGGATCCCCATAAATCAATCCCGAGAAATCCCCATAAATCCATCCCGATGAATCCTGAGAAATCCTGGTAAATCAATCCCAATCAATCCCAAATTCCTGGAGCTGGTGAGGGCTGGGGGAGGGGGAATTTTGGGGTAAATCCCAATAAATCCCAATAAACAAATCCTGATAAATCCCAATAATTCCTGATAAATCCCGATGAATAAATCCCTATAAATCCCAGTAAACACATCCCAATAAACAAATCCCAATAAATCCCAATAAATAAATCCCAATAAATCCCAATAAAGAAATCCCAATAAAGAAATCCCAATAAACCAACCCCAATAAACGAACCCCAATAAACCCCAACACACCAACCCCAACGAGCACATCCCAGTCCCGGACCCAGCGTCCCCCTCCTGTCCCCAGGACTCCAATCCCTTCGCCTCCCTCGTCTTCTACTGGGAGCCGCTCTGCCGGCAGGTGAGGGGGTCCCGCGGCCGGGGGGCTTGGGCTGAGACTGGGGGGGGCTGCGATTCTGGGGGGAAAAGTCGGGGAATGAGGAGGTTCTGTGCTCAGGGCACCTTTGACAGCCTGGCCTGAGCCCAGGGCATGCTGGTCGCTGAGTTTTGGGTGGAAATGTCAGGGAATGGGGCAGTTCTGTGCTTGGGGGCACCTTGGGAGCCGCCGGCCAGGTCCTGGGGGATGCTGGTCCCTGAGTTTTGGGTGGAAAAGTTGGGGAGTGGGGCAATTCCGTGCTCGGGAGGGGAGCCCCTTGGGAGCTGTGCTGGCCCAGGTGTGCATTGAGGGCTGGGGGCTCAGGGCTGCCCCAGGTGTGGGCTGGGGGCTCGGGGCTGGGGGCTCGGGCTGCCCCAGGTGTGGGCTGGGGGCTCGGGGCTGGGGGCTCAGGGCTGGGGGCTGGGGGCTGCCCCAGGTGCGGATCGAGGGCTCCGTGCGCCGCCTGCCCGCCGAGGAATCCGAGCGCTACTTCCAGTCCCGGCCCAGGAGCAGCCAGATCGGGGCCCTGGTGAGCAGGCAGAGCTCCGTCATCCCCGACCGCGAGGTGAGCCGGGGTCGGCCCGGGGTCCCTGAGGGCTTTGGGATCAACAGGCGGGACCCCCGGAGCCGCTCCCCCGAGGGGATCCCTGTGCCCTTTGGGATCCACTGGGGGATCCCATCACTGCCCCTTTCCCTTTGGGATCGGCCCGGGGATCCCCGTTCCCTGTGGGATCCCCGTTCCCCGTGGATCCCCCACACCCCATTCCCATGGATCCCCCACACCCGTTCCCTGTGGGATCCCCCACACCCGTTCCCTTTGGGGTCCCCCACACCCGTTCCCTTTGGGATCCCCATTCCCATGGATCCCACACCTGTTCCCTGTGGGGTCCCCGTTCCCTGTGGGATCCCCATTCCCCATGGATCCCCCACACCCGTTCCCTTTGGGATCCCCGTTCCCTTTGGGGTCCCCGTTCCCTTTGGGGTCCCCGTTCCCTTTGGGATCCCCGTTCCCTTTGGGGTCCCCGTTCCCTGTGGGATCCCCGTTCCCTGTGGGATCCCCGTTCCCCATGGATCCCCCCACCCGTTTCCCCGCAGTTCCTGCGCAGGAAGAACGCGGAGCTGGAGGAGCTGTACCGGGACAGGGCCGTGCCCAGGCCGGACTACTGGTGAGAGTGGGGGGCTGAGCCCCCCGAGCCCCCCAGGGTTCCCTCAGCCCCTCAAAGCCCCAGTGAGCCCCCCGAGCCCCCCCAGAGCCCCCTCAGCCCAAAAAACCTCCTGTGATCCCAGCCCAAAGCCCCCCCAGAGCCCCCCAAAGTTGCCCAGAGCCCTCCAGAGCCTCCCAGGGCCCCCTCAACCCCCAAAAAACTCCCGTGATCCCCCCCAGAGCCCTCCTGAGCCCCCCAGAGCCCCCCAAAGTGCCCGGAGCCCCTCCTGAGCCCCTCTGAGCCCCCCAAGGTGCCCCGAGCCTCTCCTGAGCCCCCCAGAGCCCCCCAGGGGTGGGATACCCCATGCCCCATTCCCTGTGGGATCCCCCACACCTGTTCCCTGTGGGGTCCCCGTTCCCTGTGGGATCCCCATTCCCCATGGATCCCCCACACCCGTTCCCTTTGGGGTCCCCGTTCCCTGTGGGATCCCCGTTCCCCGTGGATCCCCCACACCCCATTCCCATGGATCCCCCACACCCGTTCCCTTTGGGATCCCCATCCCCCGTGGGATACCCCATGCCCCATTCCCTGTGGGATCCCCCACACCTGTTCCCTGTGGGGTCCCCGTTCCCTGTGGGATCCCCATTCCCCATGGATCCCCCACACCCGTTCCCTTTGGGATCCCCGTTCCCTTTGGGGTCCCCGTTCCCTTTGGGGTCCCCGTTCCCTTTGGGATCCCCGTTCCCTTTGGGGTCCCCGTTCCCTGTGGGATCCCCGTTCCCTGTGGGATCCCCGTTCCCCATGGATCCCCCCACCCGTTTCCCCGCAGTTCCTGCGCAGGAAGAACGCGGAGCTGGAGGAGCTGTACCGGGACAGGGCCGTGCCCAGGCCGGACTACTGGTGAGAGTGGGGGGCTGAGCCCCCCGAGCCCCCCAGGGTTCCCTCAGCCCCTCAAAGCCCCAGTGAGCCCCCCGAGCCCCCCCAGAGCCCCCTCAGCCCAAAAAACCTCCTGTGATCCCAGCCCAAAGCCCCCCCAGAGCCCCCCAAAGTTGCCCAGAGCCCTCCAGAGCCTCCCAGGGCCCCCTCAACNCCCCCCAAGGTGCCCCGAGCCCCTCCTGAGCCCCCCAGGGTGCCCTGAACCCCTCCTGAGCCCCCCAGAGCCCCCCAGGGTGCCCCGAGCCCCCCGCAGCCGGCTGGCCCTTGCAGGGGCGCGTACCTGCTGGAGCCGGAGGTGGTGGAGTTCTGGCAGGGCCAATCGAACCGGCTGCACGACCGGATCGTGTTCCGCCGGCTGCGGGACCGCGCGGCGCCGCTCGGGGCCATGACCCACCGCGGCCACGGCGACTGGGTCTACGAGCGCCTGTCGCCCTGAGCCCGCCCGCGCTGTCCCCGGGGAATGTCCCCAAGTGTCGCAGCCGCCCCGCGCTGTCCCTCGCTGTGCGCTGGGGAACGGCTCCGGAGCTGCCCTCGCCCCCTGGGTCCCCAAATCCGCCTGCAGCCGCTCCCGGTGGTTAATTAATGGTGTTAATGATCGTGCAGGGTCCGGTGTGACCCCGGTGACCCCCCTGTCGCTGTCGCTGTCCCTGTCCCGCCACTGCCAGCTCTCTCTCCATGCTTTAGCTGGGATCGTGGAATGTGCTCAATTCCCTGCTCATTACTGCTGGTGTTTAATTAATTTAAATCGTGCCGTGAGACCCCAACCCTCAGCCCGTCCCCTCCTCCAGCAGCTGGAAAGGAATAAACCAGGATTTATGTGGAGGCGTGGAGGCTGTGGGTTAACAGCGGGTTAATGTTTAGCCAGGCACGGCCGGGCCCCGGGAGCTGCCGCGAATCCCGGGCCTGACCCGGGCCTGGGTGAATCCAGCCCCAAAACCCGGCCCGGTTCCGTGCCTGCTGTCCCGGAGCGGCACCGTGCCTGTCCTGGGTTCCCGTCCTGTCAGTGCTGTCACCGCCCCTGAGTGGCTCTGGACCCTCCCGGCTGTGCCCGTCCCTTGGAAGGACAGGAGGGGACGGGCCGGTGTCGCAGAAGGGGCACAGAGTTGTCCCAGATTCCAGGGGTAAAGGCACCGAGGGGCTCCGCTCCCGCCGGGACACGGTCCGGGACCCCGGGCCGCGAGCGAACCGAGCCAGCGCGGGACCGGGACCGGCCCCGGGCGGAGCTGGCACCGGCCCCGTGCCGGGAAACCGGGGCTGGGCTCCGGGCACCCTCCGCCTTCTGGCGGAGCCGGGCTGGAGCTGCGGAGCTCGGGAACAGCCGCGCCCGGTGGGGCCGGGATGGCGGATCCGGGATCTGGGATCGAGGATCGTCCCTTTCCCCGCGGGGTCAGGGAGCTGGGAGCGCTCCCCGGGCTCCGGCCGGCCCCGAGGGTCCCCTTTCCCAGGGGTCAGGGATTCCCGGGATGGCTCCCAGAGGGATCCCAGAAGGATCCAGAGCTTTCCCACCCTTCCATGCCGGGTTTCGGGATCCGCGGAGCTCTCCCGGATCCGCTTCCTGCTCCTCCAGCGGGTCAGGGATTCCCCGGCACGGCCCCGCTCCCGCCCGCGTCCCGCGGGGATCCGGAGCCTTCCCACCCTTCCGGGCTGGATCCAGGGATCCGCGGAGCTCTCCCGGAGCCGTCTCCGCTCCCAGGCTGGGTTTATTAACCACAGTTAATTAGCAGCAGGCGCGAGCGCTTCCAGCATCCCGGGCCGCGGGGCGGGACCCCCGCTTCCAGCAGCGGGGGGCGATTCCCGGGGAAAGCGGCTCCTCCGGGAGGAGCGATTCCCGGGGAAAGCGGCTCCTCCGGGGAGCGCTCCGCGGTCCCCACGGCGGGATCGGTGCCGCAGGGTCGCTCCCTCGGGACAGGGAAGTGTCGCATCCCCTCTCGGGGGGGACTCGGCGGCTCTGCAGCCCCTCGGGACTGGGACACGAGCGGGGCTCGGCCCCAAAACGCGACGGGAGGAGGGGACTGGGAACGGGATCGGGGCAGAGCCGGGCGGGGAGTGTCCATCCCAGTACGAACCAGCCAGCGCTGGGCAGCGGGCGGGACGGGGAGCGCTGCGCCCCGGGCTCAGCCCTGCAGCTCACGGGTTATCCCTCCCACAGGTAAATTCCATCCTGAGTCCTCCTGTCCATCCTGTCCCCGGGGGGCGACAATCCGCCCGGGTCACTGTTCCTCGCGCTCGCCGGCCCCGCACAGGTTGGGATGCTCGGCCAGCGTCGCTCTCACTTTCTTCTTCTCCTTGAAGCGCCCGGAGTGCGAGACCTTGACGTGTTTGCCCTTGGTGCTCTTGTCCACGATCTTCTCGAGGCGGGCGGCGAAGCCGGGTGTCCCCTCCGGGCCCGTCCCCTCCGCGCCGTCCCCGCCCGGCGCCGCGGGGCCCTCGGGGCTCTCGTACAGCACCGTGGGCGCTGCCTGGCGCTTCCGCAGGAACGTCAGCTTCCACCAGCCGTGCCCGTCGGCCATCCTGGAACGGCACGCGGGGCTGCAGCTCCCTCCCGGCGCTGCCCCGGCCCTCCCCGGGGCCGCCCTCCCGCCGCTCCATCGCGGCTGCGGCGCTCCCTTCCCGCGGGATGCTCCTGGCGGGGGCACCGGGAGGGGGTGGGTGTTCCACGGCTCGGGAATTCCGGCGGAAAGCCGGGAAAAGGCGGCTGGCAGCGCCGGGAGCTGCCCTTATCAGCCACGTGTGGCGGGGAGGGAGCGCGCTGAGCAAACAGGAACAGGAACTGGGGCGCAGGTGGCACCGGGGAGGTGCCGGGGGTCCCCACCTGCCCCACCCGGGCTCGGGGCTCGCCCGCCCGCCGGGGGAGCTGCAGGGGCCGGGGAAGGCTCCGGGAAGGCTCCGGGAAGGCTCCGGGAAGGCTCCGGAGCTCAGCGTGGCCCCGGGGCAGGAACCGAGGGGAGGCGGCTCCGAGCCGCGGGCACCGGGGGATTCCCGGGGCCCGGGGGCCAGCGCAGCCCCGTGTCCCCGTCCCTGTCCCCGTTTCTGTCCCCGTGGTGCTCAGCCACCAGCGGCCCCTGCCCGGTGTCGCTTTGGGGATAAAAGCCCCGTTTCCCTCTGCGACATGGGGACACGGCACAGGGACTGCGGCCACCACCCCGCCGGTGGCTCCTGAGTCCCCAGCGTCCCCTCCCCGTGCCAGAGCCAGCTGGGACCATCCCCGGCCGCGTCCCCAGAGTGTCCCGGGGGGTCCCACGTCCCCAGATTGTCACTGGGGGTCCCACATCCCATCCCCAGCCTGGACACCGCACCCCGGTACCTGCTCCTGCCGCCTCCGGGGGTCCCGGGGTGTCCCGGGGGTGTCCCGGGGTGCCCCGGGGTGTCCCGGGCTGTCCCGGAGGTGTCCCGGAGGTGTCCCGGGGTGTCCCGGAGGTGTCCCGGGGTGTCCCGGGGTGTCCCGGGGGGGCAGCGCGGGCAGGTGCCGCTCACCTGCGGCTGTCCCGGTGTTCCCGTCAAGGTGAACCCGCTCCCAAACCCCTCCTGCCCGAGCAAACAGCGGGGCCGGGCCAGGCACGGCTGAATATTCATGACAGGGAGCGGTGCCAGCCCCGGGACGGTGGCTCCGGGTGGCCCCGGGTGGCCCCGGGTGGCCCCGGGTGGCTCTGGGTGGCTCCGGGTGGCCCCGGGTGGCCCCGGGTGGCCGTGGCAGCGCTCGGGGCGCGGTGGCCTCGAGGCCCGGTGGCGGCGGCTCGAGGGTCGGGCACCGGGAGCGGGGGCAGCGCGGCTGCCGCTGGGATGTGTCCCCACGGGGACACGGGGACACCGCGGGGACACGGCGGGACCCCCGGAGCCGCTCCCCCGAGTGGATCCGGGGGATGATCCCAGCGGGTCCCGGGGGATCCCGGCTCCGGAGGGGATGGTCGGGCCCGGGGGGATCTGGGATCTGCTCCAGGGCCCTCCCAGGGTCCCCGAGGGACCGGGGCTCCTTTTGGGGGTCCCAGGGGGTTCCGGATCTCTGCTGGGGCACGCAGCGGTTCCCAAGGGATCTGGGATCCGCTCTGGGAGCACCTGGGGATCCCGCAGGGTTTGGGATCTGCTCGGGAGCCTCGTGGGGAGCGCTGCGGGACGGCTGGGGGCGATCCCGGGGATCCCGGCTCGGTGCTGAGGCACCTTGGGACCGGGATTGGTGCCAGGTGTGGGACCGGACCGGGATTGGTGCCAGGTGTGGGACCGGACAGGGATTGGTGCCCGGATTGGGACCGGAGCGGGATTGGTGCCAGGATTGGGACCGGACCGGGATTAAGGCCAGAACCGGGACCGGCACTGGCACCCGGGCTGGGACCGGGATTTTGGCCGGGATGGGGATCGGGACCCCGAAACTCCAACTGCCCTCACCGATTGGTCCGCACTGACCACGCCCTTTCCCCTTCATCCAATGGAAGCACAGGGACGTGGCGCTGCCTCCGAGCCGCGAGTTCTGATTGGCGGGAGCGGGACCTTTGGGCGGAGCGCACTTTGATTGGCCGAGGCGCGGGCGCTGGGGCAGGCGATTGGCTGGGGCGGGGAGGGCGGAAGTGGAGAGGCGGTGACGGGAAAGATGCAGGTGCGGAGCGGGAGCGGGAGTGGGATCGGGACCGGGGAAAGGACCGGGACCGGGAGTGGGAGCGGGACCGGGAGCGGGGAAAGGACCGGGATCGGGAGTGGGATCGGGACCGGGACCGGGATCGGGAGCGGGACCGGGACCGGGATCGGGAGCGGGATCGGGACCGGGATCGGGACCGGGATCGGGGCCGGGATCAGGAGCGGGAGCGGGACCGGGATTGGGGAAAGGAGCGGGATCGGGGAAGGGGCCGGGAGCGGGATCGGGGCCGGGAGCGGGGAAAGGACCAGAGCAGCGGGGACAGCCCGGGCCTGGCTCTGGAGCGGAGGGTCCCGACCCCCTCCCCGCTGCCGGTGCCGCTCCCGGTTCCGGTGCCGGTGTCGGTTGCCGCAGCCCCGCTCCTGCCGTGTTCTCCCCGCAGGTCGCTCCGCAGGATTACCGCAATGTGCCCATCGACATCCAGACCAGCAAGCTGCTGGGTGCGGGAGTGAGCCCCGGCTCCGGCCTCTCCCGGCCCCGCTTTCCTCCAGGCCGGGAAGGAACGGGAATTCATCCCGGTTATCCCAGCCCCGTTCCCGCTTTCCTCCAGGCCGGGAAGGAACGGGAATTCATCCCGGTTATCCCAGCCCCGTTCCCGTTTTCCCTCCTGACCTGGGGGAAGAGCCAGGGATCCATCCCGGGCTTTGGGAAAAGACTCGGGAATTGCTCCCGGTGTTTGTCCCCCGTGTCCCCGGAGCCCGGGGGGTGTCCCCCACCCCAGCTGACCCCGCTGTCCCCATGTCGGTGTCCCCACATCCCGGGATGTCCCCGTGGTGACCCCCCTGTCCCCCGGTGACCCCCCTGTCCCTGTGGTGACCCCGCTGTCCCCGTGTCCCCACACCCTGTCGGTGTCCCCATATCCCGGGGTGTCCCTGTGGTGACCCCCCTGTCCCCGTGTCACCCGCTGTCCCCCGGTGACCCCGTGTCCCCCCTGTCCCTGTGTCCCCCAGTGTCCCCCGTGTCCCCCCCTGTCCCTGTGGTGACCCCGCTGTCCCCGTGTCCCCACACCCTGTCGGTGTCCCCATATACTGGGGTGTCCCCGTGGTGACCCCCCTGTCCCAGTGTCCCCCGCTGTCCCCTGGTGACCCCGTGTCCCCCAGTGTCCCCCGTGTCCTAGTGTCCCCCCCTGTCCCTGTGGTGACCCCGCTGACCCCGTGTCCCCGTGTCCCCAGACTGGCTGCTGGACCGGCGGCACTGCGGGCGGCGCTGGCCGGCGCAGGTGGCGCAGGTGCGGGAGCGGATCCGGGCGGCGCTGCAGGACATGCCCGAGCACCCCGAGATCCGAGCGCTGCTCCAGGGCTCCTGTCAGTGCCTGGCGCCGGCCGCGGGGTCTGGGATCAGGGCTTGGCTCGGGGGGTTTGGGAATTGGGGTCTGGGATCAGGGCTTGGCTCGGGGGGTTTGGGAATTGGGGTCTGGGTCCGGGTTTGGGGTCTGGGATCCGGGTTTGGGGTCTGGGATCCGGGTTTGGGGTCTGGGATCCGGGTTTGAGATCTGGGAATTGTGATTCGGGATTTGAGATTGGGGTTTGGGATTTGGGGTTTGGGGGTTTGGGAATTGGGATTTGGGGATTTCAGTTTAAAGGTGAATCCAGCCCGCAGACCAGGATGGGACGGGATTTAAAGCCCAGGCTTTGTGGCAACGCCCGATCCCGCGGGCCGAGCCCCCGGGGGTGTCGGGGTGACCGTGCCGTCCCCCCCAGCCGAGCTCTCGAGCCTGCTGGCGCGCAGCATCGGCTACGAGCTGCCGGCGCTGCGGCGGCAGCGGGGCCGCTGGCAGCAGGCGCAGCAGGAGCTGGCGCGGCGCGAGGACGAGTGCCAGCTGCGGGCGGGCGAGCTCCGCGAGCGCTTCCTGAGCTCCTGCCGCCAGTACGGCATCGCCGTGAGTGCCGCGGGACCCGAAGGGGCTGGGGTGGCCCCGGGCAGAGCCCGAGACAGGCCTGGGATGGCCCCAGATAGAGCCTGGAACAGGCCTGGGATGGCCCTGAACAGAGCCCGAGACAGGCCTGGGATAATGACAAATAGAGCCCGAAACAGGCCTGGGAGAGCCCCAGATAGAGCCTGGAACAGGCCTGGGATAATCCCAGATAGAGCCTGGAACAGGCCTGGGATGGCCCTGAACAGAGCCCGAGACAGGCCTGGGATAATCCCAGATAGAGCCTGAGACAGGCCTGGGATAATGACAAATAGAGCCCGAGACAGGCCTGGGATGGTCCTGAACAGAGCCTGGAACAGGCCTGGGATAATGACAAATAGAGCCCGAAACAGGCCTGGGATAGTCCCAGATAGAGCCCGAGACAGGCCTGGGATGGCCCCAGTCAGGCCCCAGAGTAACCCCAAACAGACCCTAAAACAGGCCTGGGAGAGCCCCAGATGGGCCACAAGATAACCCCAAAAAGACCCTAAAACAGGTGTCCCCTCAGTGTCCCCAGGTGTCCCCTTGGTGTCCCCAGGCTGTCCCCAGGTGTCCCCTCGGTGTCCCCAGGCTGTCCCCAAGTGTCCCCACGGTGTCCCCAAGTGTCCCCGCCGTGTCCCCAGGTGTCCCCTCAGTGTCCCCAGCGTGTCCCCAAGTGTCCCTGCGGCGTCCCCAGCATGTCCCCAGCATGTCCCCAAGTGTCCCCACGGTGTCCCCAAGTGTCCCCGCGGTGTCCCCAGGGCCAGGACGTGCGCCGGGAGCTGCTGGCTCAGGTGCAGGCGCTGCCGTCGCTGCTGTCCCGCATCGGGGACGGCGCCAGCGCCCTCGGGGACGCCATCGAGCTGTACCAGGCCTGCGTGGCCTTCGTGTGTGACAGGTGGGGACAGCCCTGACACCCCGAAACAGCCCTGACAGCCCCAAACCTGCCCCAAAACAGCCCCGACAGCCCCAAAACCAGCCCCAAACCAGCCCTGACACCCCCAAAAACTGCCCCTATCCCCAAAATCAGCCCCAAACCAGCCCCAGCTCCCCAAACTGCCCTGAACCAGCTCCTGGCCCCAAAACCCCGGCACTGCGGGTGCTGAGGTGTCCCCACCCCGATGTCCCCATGAGCGATGTCCTCATAACCAATGTCCCCATGAGCGACCCCATCCCCGGTGCTGTCCCGTGTCCCCGTGCTGTCCCCATGTCCCCATGTCCCCGTGCCGTCCCCATGTCCCCGCGCTGTCCCCATGTCCCCATGTCCCCTGTGCTGTCCCATGTCCGTGTCCCCGCGCTGTCCCCAATGCTGTCCCCGTGTCCCCGCGCTGTCCCGCAGCCCCGGGGCCGAGGCGCTGCCGCTGCTGCGGCTGGCGGTGTCGCACGGGAACTGCTCGGTGTTCCGGTGGCGCACGGGGCGGGAGCCGCAGCGGCTGGAGCGGCCCGAGCCGCGCGAGGCACCGGAGCCGCCCCGCGAGGACACGGTGGGTGCCGGGGAGGGGACACGCGGGGACACGGGGACCCCGGCGGGCGGGGCCGTGGCTCAGGGCGGTTTTGGGGATTTTCCCGCAGATTGATTGGGGGGATTTCCCCGCGGAGCCGCCCCAGGGCGGGGACATCGACTGGGGCATCACCGTGGAGCCCGGTCCCCAGGTGGGTGACGTCCCTGTGTCCCCAGGCCCCACCGTGTCACCCTGTGTCACCTCTCCTTCCTCGGGGGGGTGGTGGCACTGACTGGGGCGATGTCCCTGTGTCCCCAAACTCCCCTGATGTCCCCCTTTGTCCCCCTTTGCTCCCCAGGGGGATGATGGCATCGATTGGGGCGACGGAGAGAAGGGACAGGAGGGGACAATCACAGCAGAGCCCAGTCCCCAGGTGGGTGACACCCCCAGGCCAGGGGTGTCCCTGTGTCCCCAAATCCCCCTGTGTCACCCAGTGTCACCCTTTGCTCCCCAGGGGGACGATGGCATCGATTGGGGTGACGGAGAGAAGGGACAGGAGGGGACGATCACGGTGGTGGAGTCTGGAACCGAGGGTGAGCGGGGCTGGGGGACACAGGCAGCTCCCAAATCCCCCCAAATTCCCCATTCCCAGTGCCCCTGGACACCCCAGAGGGGGTTGGGGTGGGGCAGGGAGTGGGATTTGGGTGCTGGGCAGGGATTTTGGGGTTCTGGGCAGGGATTTTGGTGCTGGGCAGGGATTTTGGGGTGCTAGGCAGGGTTTTGGGTGCTGGGCAGGGATTTTGGGGTGCTGGACAGAGTTTTGGGTGCTGGGCAGGGTTTTGGGTGCTGGGCAGGGATTTGGGTGCTGGGCAGGGTTTTGGGGTGAAGCTGAGCTGGCTTTGGGGTCCCAGCCCCTGCAGCCCCCGAGGACGTTGCCCGCGGCTCGGACGCGCTGACCCTGCTGGAGAACCCCGAGACTCGGAACCAGTTCATCGACGAGCTGATGGAGGTGGGCACCGGGGACACGGCTGGCCCTGGCTGTGACCCTGGCAGTGTCCCTGTCAGTGTATCTGTCGGTGTCCCTGTCATTGTCCCTGGTGGTGTCCCTGTCCCTGTCAGTTCCCTGTCCCTGTCCCGGTCCCCGTCCTGTCCCTATCCCTGTCCCCGTCCCCGTCCCTGTCCCTGTCCCGGTCCCCGTCGTGTCCCTATCCCTGTCCCCGTCCCCGTCCCTGTCCCAGTCCCCGTCCCCATCCCTGTCCCTGTCCCTGTCCCCGTTCCCGTCCCCGTCCCTGTCCCGTCCCTATCCCTTGTCCCTGTCCCTATCCCTGTCCCCGTCCCTGTCCCCGTCCCTGTCCCCATCCCAGGGACATCAGCCTGGGACCCCTAAGGGACATCAGGCGGTGACACCCGAGGGACACGGGGGGTCCTCAGGGGGTCCTGCCCCTCCCAGCCCCCCTGCCCACCCGGGGGTGCTGCGGGGTTTGGGGGTGTCGGTGAATAAACCCAAATTTTGTGTCACATCGAGCTGGGTTTGAGGGGGGAGAGGAGCCGCGTGTCACCGAGGGGGAGCGGGGACAGGGACAAGGACAGGAGAGTGGGAGGCGAGAGCTGGAGCCGGGCTGGGACCCCCTCTTAGCCCTCCCTGCCCCTGGGGGGTCGCAGCAGCCCCCGGCCCGGGGGTGCGGGGGTTTCGATTTCACGGCAGAGCGGGTGATTCACGGGCGCTGTCCCTGTCCCTGTCCCTGGCGCGGTGACACCGCTCGGCCTCGCCCGCAGGGAGCGCTGGGACCCCTCAATCAGACCAGACCCCCCAAACCCCGCCGGACTGGGCGGGGCTGCCACGCCCTGTGACGTCATCCACCGAGCACACCCACCCTGACAGGCTATTGGTTGGTGCCTCGTTTGGTCCCGCCCCCTTGAGGCGTCACAGCCGCTCATTGGTCCGGCTCTACTGTGGGACCGCCCACGCACAGGGCTGGGGTCCCCAGTGGGGCTGGGGGGGTCCCTAATGGAGCTGGGGGTCCCTAACGGGGCTGGGGGTCCCCAGTGGGGCTGGGGGGTCCCTAACGGGGCTGGGGGTCCCAGCGGAGCAGGGGCTGCGGCCCTGGGGGTCTGTCCCCCCGGGGGATGGCGTGGGGCACAGAGAGCCCGGTTCGCAGGGGTCCCATGGGGTCGGCCGGGGGGCTGTGGGGACCCGGCCCGGCTCCAGATCTCGCTCCCCGCTCGCCTGTCCCTGTCCCCAAACCCATCTCTGTCCCTGTCCCTGTCCTTGTCCCTGTCACCGTCCCCGTCCCTGTCCCCGTCCCTGACCCTGTCCCCAAACTCATCCCCATCCCTGTCCTTGTTCCTGTCCCTGTCCTTGTCACCGTCCCTGTCCCCGTCCCCGTGCCCCTCCCCGCTCGGTGGCAGCCGGGCTCCGGGGAGCCCCTCATTACCCCGCTAGCGGTGATTAACGGGCTCATTAATTCCCCGCCGCCGGTCACCGCCGGCCGGCCGCGCACGGAGCCGGGAGCCGCGGAGGGTCCCGCGGGGATGGGGGCTCGGGGGGATCCAGGAGGGGGGTCCGGGGGTCACCGTCCCCATCGTCACCACAGCGAAGGCGCTGGGGGGGCTCGGGCCTCTATGGCGTCTTCATCTCCCCCCGGGACCCCGGCCCCTGATCCCCCGGACAGGGACAGAGGGACAGAGGGACAGAGGGGACAGAGGGACAGAGGGACAGAAGGGACAGAGGGGACAGAGGGACAGAAGGGACAGAGGGGACAGAGGGACAGAAGGGACAGAGGGGACAGGAGGGACAGAAGGGACAGAGGGGACAGAAGGGACAGAGGGACAGAAGGGACCTGCAGTCGCAGCCCCCCCAAAAAGCCGGGGTCCCTTGTGGGTCCCTGTGCCCCGCTCGGCTGTCCCTGCCATGCGGGGACTGTCACCAGCCTGGGGGGCGGTCCAGACAAAGGGACGGGACAGGGCCGGGAACGGGGACCCCGGCGGTGTCCCCTCCCCCCGGCGGTGTCCCCTCCCCCCGGCGGTGTCACCTCCCCCCCGCCGGCTGCTGCTCCGTCTCACCTGCCAGGGAGAGATTTAATTACCAATTAAGGTCCCTCCATCTGTCCCGGCGCTGTCCCCGCGTCCCTGACAGCGCCGCTCGCTCCATTAGCGCCGGGACCCGCCAGCTGGGGGGCGGCTCTGCTGTCCCCAACTGTCCCCAACTGTCCCCAACTGTCCCCGCGGCCACCGCCGCCACACCCGGCCCTGTGCACTCCCCGTCCGTCCGTCCGTCCGTCCATCCATCCCTCCATCCATCCATCCCTCTCCCCGTCCCTCTCCCTGTCCCTCTCCCCATCCCTCTCCCCGTCCCTCTCCGCATCCTCCCCTCCCCAATCTCTCCCCACATCCCTCCATCCATCCCTCTCCCCATCCCTCCCTCTCCCCATCCTTCCCTCTCCCCATCCCTCCATCCATCCCTCTCCCCGTCCCTCTCCCCATCCTCCCCTCCCCGATCTCTCCCCGCTCTCACCCCCGCACCCCCCAGTCCCTCTCCCCTCTCGGGGCTCCCCCTCTCAGCCCCATTTTTAGGGTCCAGCAGCCGCTCCCGATGTCCCCAGCGGGGTGGGGACCCCCGAGCCCCCCGAGCCCCCTCCCCAGGGCCGGCGCTGCAGCTGCTCCGCGGCCGCCAAATGTCCCGGTGACGAGCAGGCGGAGCGGGGCCGCAGCTGCCCCGAGCCCGGGGAGCGATGTGTCACCGCGGCGGCGACAGCTCGGCGCGGGGGGGACACGCGGGGGGCCGGATGAGGGGGGGTCCCGGGAGCTGGGGGGTCCCGGGGGGTCCTTGGAGGGGAAGAGAACAGAAATTAGGGAACAGTCGATGCCCCGGGGATGGAAAACGGTCGGGGGTTATTTTTGGGGGGCTTACCCCCCCCATGGGTGTGATGAGCTGGGGACGCTCAGCCAGAGGATTTTTGGGGGGGCCCGGGGCTCACGGAGGGGGCCAGGAAGGGGTGCAGCCCCCCAACCCCGCAGGAGGGGGGTGCCCAGGCCCGCGGCCCCCAGAGGGGACAGGCCGGGGGGGCACCCCAGGAGCGGAGCCCCCCGAGAGGAAACCCGGCCGGCAGGAGAGCCGAGCCGCACTGGCCGCGGGGAGCCCCGGGCGGCACCCCGAAACGGGCACCCCGAAACGGGCACCCCGAAACAGCCATCCCCGGAATGGGCACCCCAAAACAGCCATCCCAAAACAGCCATCCCCGGAATGGGCACCCCGAAACGGGCACCCCGGAACGGGCACCCCGAAACTCTCCCGCCCTGTTATCCCCAAACCGCCCTGCACCCCACACGGCTGTGGGGTTTTCTGGGGTGCTGTGGGGTATCTGGGGGTGCTGTGGGGTGTCTGGGGTGTCTGGGGTCGCTGTCCCCCAGCCCCGTGCCCCCCGTCAGCCCCTTTGTCGCCGCGGCGGTGCCTTTGTCCCCGTGTCACCCGGGGGGCACCAGCTGTCACCGCCGGGGCCTTCGCGCTCCTCCTCCTCCTCCCCCTCTTTGTTCTCGGGCTGCGGAGGGAGGGGGACCCCGGGGGTCGCCACAGAGGGGACACAGAGGGGACACAGAGCCCCCCAGGGACGGGGACACCCCGCGGGGACAGAGGGGACGGGGCTGGGGTTTGGGGGGCGCTTCGTGCCCTGCCCCACCCCCGGCTGGCCCCGCTTTGGGGGTCCCCAGGGTGGGCACGGGGGGTTCCCTGGGTTGGGGTGTCCCGGGAGGGTCCCAAGGGAGGGGACCCCTGTGATTGAGGGGGGTCGCTACAACTGGGGAGTCCCCAAGACGGGGGGGGGTTATTGGGGGCAGAGTTTTGGGGCGTCCCGAAGAGGGGCCCCGGTTTGGGAAGGGGTCCCGGATTTGGGGTCCCGGTTTGGGGGGTCAGGAAGGGGTCCCGGTTTGGGGGGATCAGGGCGGGGTCCCCGCGCTGCCGCAGAGCCGCCGGCAGGTGGCGCTGCAGGACCGCGAATGCGCGAGCCGGGGCGGGGCACGAGGGGCGGGACCACTATGGGAGTGGGCGTGGCTATGAACCTTATAAGGATATCGTGTGCTACAAAGGGCGGAGCTATGCAAATAAAGCCCGGTGTCGCAAGGAGCGTCGGGAAAGAGGCGCGCTGAGGTCCTAGGGACAGATTTTGGGGTGCCAGGGACGGATTTCGGGGGGCCCTGCAGAGGCTGTGCCAGCCCGAGGGGCTCTGCAGCATTGGGGACACCCGGGACTGGGGCAAAACCCAGTTTGGGGGGTTCCCAAAAGGGGGTGATCCCAGAGGAGGGTGAGGGGTTGGGTATGGGGTCTGTAGGGTCGGGGGTTCCCAAAAAGAGGGCGGTCCCAATGTTGGGGTGTCCTTAGGATGGCTGTCCCAAGCTTGGGGGGTCTGTAGGGAACAGCCATGGGGAGTGGGGGGTCCCAGCCCCGCGGGACCCCTGTGCTGGACCCATGGAAGTGATCCCTCCACAAATGTTGGGGTTTAACAAAAAACCCCCATAAACACCCCAAAAAAACACCCCAGCAAGGAGGGAGAGAGCCGGCCCCGCCCCGACACCGGATTGGGCAGGAAAATGTTTAATTGTGGCTGGATCCAGCTGGGAAGGACAAACTTCATTAGTGCCTAATTAATCCTGGCTATTATCAGCCCTGGGAGGGGGCTCCTGGATCCATCCCAAACAATCCCAGCCCCTCCATTCCCTGCTCCCAGTCTGGAATTTTCCGGTGACTCACCCGAATCTTCCCTTGTTTGCTTCGGTTTTTGGGGTGGAGCGTTTTCCCGGAGGAGAAAAAATGGGGAAGGGGCTCCTGGATTCCAGGGGATCCTGGATTTGGGGGTCCCAAATAATCCCAGCCCCTCCATGTCCCTGCTCCCGTTCCCTGAGCTGTCCCAGCCTGGAATTTTCTAGTGACTCACCCGAATTTTCCCGTGTTTGGGAAGGTTTTCCCTTTAATTTTTGGGGCTGGGGCGTTTTCCTGGGGGTAAGAAATGGGGAGGGGGCTCTGTGCCCCCCTCAGTGGCACGAGGTGGGCACGGGGACAGGGCCAGCTGTCCCCAAATAGCCCCGGGGACACCAAAAATAACCCGGAGGGACAGCCCAGCTCGGGTTCCCAGCTGGAAACGGCCCCGGGGAGTCACGGGAGGGCTTTGGGGGGGCTGCCACACTCCCCCTTTATCCTGGGGGGAATTTGGGGTGGAAAACACCCCCAAAATCCAGCCCAGGGGGGGTTCAGGGTGGGCAACACCCCCAAAATCCAGCCCAGGGGGGGTTCAGGGTGGCAACAACCCCCAAAATCTATTCCAGGGGGGGTTTAGGGTGGAAAACACCCCCAAAATCCATCCCACAGGGGGTTCAGGGCGGCAACACCCCCAAATCTGTAACCTGGGGGGGCTTTGGTTTGGAAACAGCCCCCCGAGCCCCCTGAGCCCCCCTGAGCCCTCCCGGTGCCGTTGCAGATCGAGGCTGACATCTCCAAGCGCTACGGGGGACGGCCGGTGAACCTGATGGGTGTCAACCTGTGACACTGGGGACATCAGCCTGGGACACCTGGGGGACATCAGACTGTGACACTGGGGACATCAGCCTGTGACACCTGGGGACATCAACCTGTGACACTGGGGACATCAACCTGTGACACCTGGGGACATCAGCCTGGGACACCTGGGGACATCAGACTGGGACACCTGGGGGACATCAGACTGTGACACTGGGGACATCAGACTGGGACACCTGGGGACATCAGACTGGGACCCCTAAGGGACATCAGGCGGTGACACCCGAGGGACACGGGGGGTCCTCAGGGGGTCCTGCCCCTCCCAGCCCCCCTGCCCACCCGGGGGTGCTGCGGGGTTTGGGGGTGTCGGTGAATAAACCCAAATTTTGTGTCACATCGAGCTGGGTTTGAGGGGGGAGAGGAGCCGCGTGTCACCGAGGGGGAGCGGGGACAGGGACAAGGACAGGAGAGTGGGAGGCGAGAGCTGGAGCCGGGCTGGGACCCCCTCTTAGCCCTCCCTGCCCCTGGGGGGTCGCAGCAGCCCCCGGCCCGGGGGTGCGGGGGTTTCGATTTCACGGCAGAGCGGGTGATTCACGGGCGCTGTCCCTGTCCCTGTCCCTGGCGCGGTGACACCGCTCGGCCTCGCCCGCAGGGAGCGCTGGGACCCCTCAATCAGACCAGACCCCCCAAACCCCGCCGGACTGGGCGGGGCTGCCACGCCCTGTGACGTCATCCACCGACCACACCCACCCTGACAGGCTATTGGTTGGTGCCTCGTTTGGTCCCGCCCCCTTGAGGCGTCACAGCCGCTCATTGGTCCGGCTCTACTGTGGGACCGCCCACGCACAGGGCTGGGGTCCCCAGTGGGGCTGGGGGGGCCCTAACGGAGCTGGGGGTCCCCAGTGGGGCTGGGGGGTCCCTAACGGGGCTGGGGGTCCCAGCGGAGCAGGGGCTGCGGCCCTGGGGGTCTGTCCCCCCGGGGGATGGCGTGGGGCACAGAGAGCCCGGTTCGCAGGGGTCCCATGGGGTCGGCCGGGGGGCTGTGGGGACCCGGCCCGGCTCCAGATCTCGCTCCCCGCTCGCCTGTCCCTGTCCCCAAACCCATCTCTGTCCCTGTCCCTGTCCTTGTCCCTGTCACCGTCCCCGTCCCTGTCCCCGTCCCTGACCCTGTCCCCAAACTCATCCCCATCCCTGTCCTTGTTCCTGTCCCTGTCCTTGTCACCGTCCCTGTCCCCGTCCCCGTGCCCCTCCCCGCTCGGTGGCAGCCGGGCTCCGGGGAGCCCCTCATTACCCCGCTAGCGGTGATTAACGGGCTCATTAATTACCCGCCGCCGGTCACCGCCGGCCGGCCGCGCACGGAGCCGGGAGCCGCGGAGGGTCCCGCGGGGATGGGGGCTCGGGGGGATCCAGGAGGGGGGTCCGGGGGTCACCGTCCCCATCGTCACCACCAGGGGGGGTTCAGGGTGGGCAACACCCCCAAAATCCAGCCCAGGGGGGGTTCAGGGTGGCAACAACCCCCAAAATCTATTCCAGGGGGGGTTTAGGGTGGAAAACACCCCCAAAATCCATCCCACAGGGGGTTCAGGGTGGCAACACCCCCAAATCTGTAACCTGGGGGGGCTTTGGTTTGGAAAACACCCCCAAAATCCAACCGGGGGGGGCTCTGAGGTGGGCATTACCCCCAAATCTCCAACCCAGGGGGGATTTCAGGTGGGCAACACACCCAAATTATCAACATGGGTGGGTTTAGGGTGGGAAACACCCCCAAAATCTATTCCAGGGGGGTTTAGGGTGGGAAACACCCCCAAAATCCAACCCAAAATGAGTTTAGGGTAGGAAACACCCCCAAAATCCAACCAGGGAGGGTTTGGGGTGGGCAACACCCCCAAAATCCAGCCCAGGGGGGTTCAGGGTGGCAACAACCCCCAAAATCTATTCTGAGGGGGGGTTTAGGGTGGGAAACACCCCCAAAATCTATTCCAGGGAGGGTTAGGGTGGAAAACACCCCCAAAATCTATTCCAGGGGCACTTTAGGGTGGGAAACACCCCCAAAATCCAACCCAAAATGGGTTTAGGGTAGGAAACACCCCCAAAATTCAACCAGGGATGGTTTGGGGTGGGCATCACCCCCAAAATGAAGCCCAGGGTGGGTTTAGGGTGGAAAACACCACCAAATCTCCATCCCACTGGGGGTTCAGGGCGGGCAACACCCCCAAAATCTATTCTGGGGGGGTTTACACTGAGTATCACCCCCAAAATCCAACCCAGAGGCATTTAGGGAGGGCATGACCCAAAAAAAAAATAAAAATCTCTGGGATCTGGGCACTTCCAGCCCCTCAAACACCTTCCCTTGTCTCCCTGGACTCATCCCTGGGTCTCTGCAGGTTTTGGGGGGCACAAACAGCCTGGGAAAACTGGGAAAACCTGGAAAAACCTGGGAAACCCTGGAAAACCTGGAAAAACCTGGCGAACCCTGGGAAACCCTGGGAAATCCTGGGTAACCCTGGAAAACACCCCCAAATCTCCATCCCACTGGGGGTTCAGGGCGGGCAACACCCCCAAAATCTATTCTGGGGGGGTTTACACTGAGTATCACCCCCAAAATCCAACCCAGAGGCATTTAGGGAGGGCATGACCCAAAAAAAAAATAAAAATCTCTGGGATCTGGGCACTTCCAGCCCCTCAAACACCTTCCCTTGTCTCCCTGGACTCATCCCTGGGTCTCTGCAGGTTTTGGGGGGCACAAACAGCCTGGGAAAACTGGGAAAACCTGGAAAAACCTGGGAAACCCTGGAAAACCTGGAAAAACCTGGCGAACCCTGGGAAACCCTGGGAAATCCTGGGTAACCCTGGGAAAACCTGGGAAACCCTGGGAAAACCTGGCATAACCTGGAAAACCCTGGCAAACCCTGGCAAACCCTGGCCAACCTCACCCTGCTGCCGGGCGTCGCATCCCACGCGGCTTTTTCCCTGTTCTGTTTTTCTGTTTCCCGGGATGAAGCAGCGTCTGCGGCATCCCGTTTGTCCCGGCAGGTTTCTGGGGCAGGGCAGGGACGGGCAGGAATGGCAGGATCGGGGTGGTGCTGCCCGCGCCTCCCGCCCGCCGGGCTGGCACGGGCCTGGGCAGGAGCTGGGCACAGGGATGGGCACGGATCCCACACACATCCAGTGGGAAGGGCAGGAATCCCAAATGGAGCAGGGATGGGCAGGAATCCCACACAGATCCAGTGGGAAGGGCAGGAATCCCACACAGATCCAGTGGGAAGGGGAGAAGGGCAGAAATCCCAAATGGAGCAGGGATGGGCAGGAATCCTACACAAATCCATGTGGCAAGGGGAGAAGGGGCAGGAATCCCACACAGATCCAGGTGGGATGGGCAGGAATCCCAAATGGAGCAGGGATGGGCAGGAATCCTACACAAATCCATGTGGGAAGGGGAGAAGGGCAGGAATCCCACACAGATCCAGGTGGGAAGGGGCAGGAATCCACAGGGATCTGTGTGGGAAGGGGGGAACTGGCAGGAATCCCACAGGAATCTCTGTAGAAAGGGGAGAGGGGCAGGAACCCCACAGGGAGCAGGGACAGGCAGGAATCCTGCAGGGATCCCTGTGGGAAGGGGAAAAGGGTCAGGAACCCCACAGGGAGCAGGAATCCCTCACAGATCCATGTGGGAAGGGCAGGAATCCCAAATGGAGCAGGGAAGGGCAGGAATCCCACACACATCCATGTGGGAAGGGCAGGAACCCCGCAGGGATCCCTGCGGGAAGGGGTGAAGGAGCAGGATCCCTCACAGCTCCCTGCGGTCAGGGGTGAATGACCCGCAGGTGCGAGCCCAGCTCCGCGGCTGTTCAGTCGGGCTGTGGGCTTTCAGGCTCCGTTAGGGGCCGATGACCCGCGCAGGGCAAGGGAAGGCCGCGGCCTGATGCCAGCAGCGCCTTTCCGCCTTTCCCCACACATCCAGCGGCACATGCTGGCCCGGAGCAGGGTTCTGGGAAGAGCCCCAGCGTGGCCCTCCGCTGCTGACCGCGCCGCGGTCGCTGACACCGCTCCGGGCCGGCCGGGGAGCCCCGGGGCCGGCGCGGCCCCGCCATGGCGGCCTCGCCCCGCTCAGGGCCCGGGCCGCCCGTCGCCGTGGCAACCGCTGCGGGGCGAAGGGGCGGTGCCGCCGCCCTGCAGCGATTGGTGCGCGCCGCTGCCACTCAAGCGCGGGAATCCTGTGCGTCGTCTCATTGGTTTGCGCAGCTGTCACTCAGTGAAGGCCTTGCGCGCCATTGGGTGGGTGTGTTGCCAATCAAGCAGAGAGCGGGGCGAGCCGCGCTTCTCTGTTTCTCATTTCTCATTGGCTGGGATGCGCCGAGCGCGAGGGCCGCCCGCGCCTTTTCGCGCGCCCATTGGTCAGTTTGCCTGCCAATCAAAGCGGCGCCGGGGAGGAGGGAAGAACTCTCCGCCGCACGCTTCCCATTGGTCCGCGCCTCGCTCTCGCCTGCCCTCGGCGGGCGGTGATTGGCGGCGGCGCCGCGCGAGGCGGG